CGTCCCCCTTGACCAATGACCTTGTTCAAGTCCTGTGTGCTCCAGGCCCTTGACGCTGCCTACCGGCCTTCTCGGGCCTCAGCTCCCCTCACTCCCTGGCCCGCAGTCCACAGAGCTTTAGGGATGGCCAGGGGCCCTAGAAATATTCTAGCACCCGTCTGCCTGCACCCCGGCGGGCCCCGGCGTCTGCGCTGGAATCGTAGGAGTGGTGACTTTCAAACGTTTTTGACTAGAACCCGTAGGAATACATATATTTTGTGTCATGACCCAGCACACGCTTAGAACATTCTCGCCACACGTGTGTGGGCGCATGCGGGCCTGTGTGGTTTAAACCGAGGTTTCATGAAACAATACTTAACCTGACTCCTTAATAGGTTCTGGTATTTTCTTTTCTTTTCTTTTTTTTTTAAAGATTTTATTTATTTATTTGACAGAGAAAGTGAGAGAGCACAAGCAGGCAGAGCAGCAGTGGGAGAGGGAGAAGCAGGCTCCCCACTGAGCAGGGAGCCCGATGCGGGGCTTGATCCCAGGACTCTGGGATCACGACCTGAGTCGAAGGCAGACACTTAACGACTGAGCCACCCAGGCCCTCCGGTTCTGGTATTTTCTGTTCAATTCTATTTTATTTATTTATTTTTAAAGATTTTATTTACTTATTTGACAGACAGAGATCACAAGTAGGCAGAGAGGCAGGCAGAGAGAGGGGGGGAAGCAGCCTCCCTGCCAAGCAGAGAGCCTGATGCGGGGCTCGATCCTGGGACCCTTGCATCATGACCTGAGCCTAAGGCAGAGGCTTTAACCCACGGAGCCACCCACGAGCCCTCTATTTTATTTTTTTAAACACATGACCTAGTAAGTGGCTTATGTGACCCGCAGAAGGACATCCCCCCCACCTTGGAATCTGGTATTTGTACACTTGGAGACCCTGAAGCTCGGGAAGGGGCAGGCCTCATGTGGGGCGCACCCCTGGACTTGAGGTGAGGAACCAGATGAGCTGAATGCCCCAGTGTGTAAGCATACAGCTCAGCCCACACTGCTCTCGGTTCCTGGGTCACAGAGCTCCGAGTTCAGGGGATGGGGGCGTCAGTCCTGGCTCTGCCTGCCTTTTCTCGCCCTGTTTCAGATAGGCTCATTCAGACCCCTTCACCTGCCTGCCGGTAATAGTCTCCCGGCCCCTCTCAGAACTCTCTGGTCCCTTAGGGATCCTAAGCCCAGTCCAGTGTGAACAGAGACTTCCACCTCATACCTTGTTCAGTGTTCTCTTCGGCCCTCCAGCCAGGACTGCTGGCTTCCCTCCTCTCCAGGTCCCGTTCTCCTCTGACATCTTGGGGTCTGGCCTGAGGAACTTGAGAAAAAGTGGCCAAAATATATTTATTTATCTGGAGCTCTGGTGGTCTCTGTTAGCCACGACTGGCTCACTGTTGAAGCAAAGTTTCAACAAAAATGAGCAATGTGCCAGGCCCTGTGGCAGGAGGTGCTAGGGCTATGGTGGCGACTAAAGCTGACGAGGACCAGCCCTCAGAGAGCTCATGGTTTAGTGAGAGATGGTGAACAAGGAAACAGACACATAATAATGTAAAGAAGGAATGTCACCTTAGAGAAGGAATGACGGAAAATTAGGAGATAGGAAAGGACGGGTGCCATTAAACAAGGTGGCTGGAGGCCTCCCTGAGGTTCTAAAGATTGAGTAGAGACCTGAACATGGTGAGGGAATGAACCTGCATCTATATGGGAGGAGGGAGTTCCTGCTGGAGGAAAGGCACAGCCAGTGCAAAGGCCCTGAGGCAGGAGTGTGCTGGGCATATCTGAGTGGCCAATGTGGCTGGAGTGCAAGAGGGAGAGTAGTGGAAGATGAGAGGGAAGGGGGGCCATGGGCCCCAGGTTAGCATGTGTGAGTTCTCTCAGAGGCTGTTTGGGGGGCCTGCCTGCAGCAGGACCCCTGTCATGGGAGCTCTGACCTGGTTTGACCTCTTCCCTTCCCTGCCCAACTCCCTTGCCCGCTAAAGTTGCCCACCCTCCAGCCTCTGGGAACTAGGGTCCCCTTGCCCTGCAAGCAACCCTCTTAGGGGGCGCCCACAAAACTCAAACATGGCCCCTTCCTTAGTGTCTCTTGAGAAAGTCACAGCCCTTGCTGTGCAGGGGGAGGGAAGACAGGCCGCTCCACTGCCCCTTTGCGTCCCAGCCATCTCTCCCCAGCTGTGCAGAATCCGACCCAAGGTGGGGTGGGGGGGGTAGGACGCCGGCCTCTCCTTCGCAGGATGCCCTGCCTGCTTCCATACTCAGCTCCTGCAGCTCTGCCTGCGGGTTGTCGAAGCCGGCGAAGGGTGCTGGGAGCCCGCGTCCAGGGCAGGACAGGCTGCTGGCTGGGACCAGTGCCCTGTAGCAGCCTTGCCTCCCTGCCATGGCGCAGACACCCCCGCTCCTCGTGTCTCCCAGACCTCACAGTTTCATGCAAGATGCACACCCCACCCTCCCCTGCCCTCACCCCCCTTCTCCTGGCACACCCCCCCCGGCTAGCTCCCCCATCAGTGCTTCTGTGCAGCCCCTGATCCCCACAGAACTCATCAAAACTCCTTTTGTGCTTTGGAAGAGAGTAAGCCTGGGCATCAGAGTAACAGGACGTAGACCCTGACTGCCCGCCACGGGCTGGGTGCCTCTGGGTAGTTGATGCCCACCTGGGCCTCAGCTTCCTCCTCTAGAAAGCTGAGCCAAGGATCCTTCCTCTTTAGGTCCATCAGTATGAGGAGTCAGTGCCTGGTCACACCAGGAGAGGGGGTGCTGCTCTCTGGGGTCAGCCTCGTGTTTGCATGAGGGGCTTTGAGGCTGGTTTCCATCAGACTGGGAGCTCCAGGAGGGCCGGGGTGGAGTCTTAATCCCACCTCTGTCCCCACACGCTTGCACGGTATAGACAGGAGATGGGTGCTCCTCAGGTGAAGGAATGAAAGGTTGTTTCAGTGAATGAATGACCTAGAATGTCACTCTCACTAGAATGTCAGCTGCGTGAGGGCAGCTGACATTCTAGCGTCTCTGTCTCATTTGCCAGTGTTCCTCGTGTGCAGAACAGCACCTGGCACATAGTAGGTGCTCAGCAAATACTGAATGCATCAGGAATAGATGCTTACTCCCTGTGCTATGGTCTCCATTCCCTCGGCCTCACACTCACTGCGTGGGAAGGGATTGGACACTTCACAAAAGCTTGACTGTGTTGGGGAGTGACTGGTGCCCAGTATGGGGACAGGAAGGGCTTCTCTGAGGAGGCGACCTTGAGCTGAGACCTGAATGACTTGGTTCAGGAAGATCTGAGGATATGTTCCAGGTGGAGAGGAGAACAAGGACAAGGAACAAGGGGACCATTTGAGGAGCAGCAGGGAGGCTGGCGTGCGGGCCCCTGACGGCCTTGGTGGGGGGCTGGCTGTCCTCCCCAGGGCAGCAGAAGGAAGCCAGTGGCCGATTTTCAGCAAAGATGCAGTCTGACCTATAGTCTCCCGGTGCAGGTGGGTGGAGAGTGGAGGAAGCCTGTGGCCAGTGGCCTCCCGGTGAGAGAGGGTGGTGCCCCCAGGTGGGGAGCGGCAGTGGGGACAGAGAGGGCTGGGTCTGGAATGGAGGTTGGAGAGAGCCAGTAGGACTTGCTGGTGGGGGGGGTGGGTGAAGGCAGCGTTCAGAGAAAACTGGATTTTTTGGTTGGTACATCTGGGTGGGCTGTTACATCATTTGCTAAAATCGGGGAAGTAGAGGAAGATGGACCTGGGTCTCCTTGAGACGGCTGTCGCCTGTTCGGCATCCGTGAGGGGAGCTGGCTCTTCATTTGGGGGCTCAAGCAGAGTAAATTCGGGGGTGTAAATTCGGGGGTCCGCCGCACAAGGAGGAGGTGTCCTGTGAGAGACCCTGGAGGTGAGAAGGGGCTGGGCTGGAGCAGAGAGGGGGGACCATGGGGGGGTGGTGGGAGGGAAGCTGGAGATGGGCGTGGCTTGAGGGGGAGGGGGCCGGAGGAGAGGAGACAGGAGATGGAGATGGGGGGGGGAGGGGGGGGGGGGGGCAAGTCGGGAGAGGAATTTTGGGGGGGGGGGGGGGCGGGGGCGGGAGGGGGGGGGGGGGGGGAGGGGGGGGGGGGGGGGCACTGGATGGGTGGGGAGAGCAGGGATGCAGGTGAGAGTACTGAGGGGAGAGACACCGCAGCACCTGCCGTGTTGGTGGCCAATAGGGAGACAAGGGCAGACGACCAGAAGAGAGAAGACAGGGGGCAGGGCCCCCGGTGGGGGCGGGTCAGGCTGGGGGGTGGTCTCTAGGGTGGGGGGGCTGATCTTGGATGGAGCAGGGACAGCTCTTCCTTTGTCACAGGAAGGAAAGCAGATGGTGTGAGCAAAATGGGGGCAGGGCAATGATTTCAGGTAGAAAAATGGGGTGATGCCTGCTGCAGGCTTCTGGACCTCCGTGAGGGATGGGGGAGCGGCCAGCAGCAGGCTGTGGGGAGGGCGGTGCCCAGGTGGCAGGTTTGAGAAGTAAAGCTGCGTGAGGTAGTTAGCCTGGTTGGAAGCAAACTTTGCAGGGACTGGAGACCTGTAGACGGTTCCCTGGTCCGTGTCCTGTGTGAGGCCGGGGACCTTTTCCAGCAACGCGCAGCCCTGCGGGTCCTGGTGTGGAGCAGGTGGAGAGTGAGACTGGACAGGGCTGGGAGTTGAGGGCCTCTGTGAAGGTGAGCTCATAGGCTGTGCCAGCTAGCTCATAGGCTAGCTAACCAACGAAAATGGAGGGACAGGCAGACGGACGAGAATTCCCACTGAGGGCACCGGGCAAGCGGTCTGGCAGGAATCCCCCCTGCCGCGGGCTTGCTTCGGTCTTTGTTTTCTACAAAATGACATCGGTGGCCATAAAGTAGTGCCCAGCGCTACTGGGCTGGGCAGTACTGGGCTGGGCAGGGCTGGCTTGAACAAGCCCCATAAATAGGGAGTGCGGGGCTGTTGGGGGGGGTTTCTAAGTTCCTCCTGTTGTCGTATTTCCAGATCTGTTCACAAGTGCCCACAAGGACTGCCCCATGCCCCAGGGCACGGACCCCCTGAACCCGGACTTGCCCTCCAGCCACCCCCCCACTGTTGCTCCAGACCATGTCACTGGCAAGGTAACTGGTCCCACTTGATCCTTACCTTCACCTGCCTCGACCCTGGTTCCTGGGATGCCCCCTACAGCGCTCCCCAGGGAGCCGCAACTGTTCCAATCTTCCCTCCTTGCATCAGAGCCCCTAAGGTTTGGTATGCATTTGGGTGAAAGTCTGAATCGGGCTGGGCATCCAGGGACTTGGACCAGGACCAGAAAAGAGAGTCCTGCTCTGGAGGTCTTTCCACGCAAAGTACCCCAGCCTTGCAGATAACAAGTTCCCTGACCAGCCCACCACCTTCCTTCTTAGCAGCCTGCCCTGCCTTCTGGAAGGTAAAGGAGTGGCACTTTTTTTTTTTTTTTAAGTTTATTTATTTAAGTGATCTCTACACCAACATGGGGCTCGAACTCACAACCCTGAGACCAAGAGCCGTGTGCTCTGCTGACTGAGCCAGCCAGGTGCTCCAAGAGTGGGATTCTTAGTCCAGATGCATTAGGAAGAGCTTGCCAGGGGCCTCAGATCCTGGTGCATAATTTCCACCCCACCCCCAGAAGTTGTGGCTTGGACCTACCAGTTGACATAATCACTTTTTTTTAAACACACACCACATGCTAAGCTTTATGATGGATACTTTGTCTATATCATGTCACTTGCATCACCACAACCCCTGAGATAAATGGCATTTATCACCATCTTACCGAGGAAGAAACTGATGTCCTGAGCCATTAAGGAACTAGTCTAAGGGTACCCAGGTAGAAAGGGCAGAGTCGAAGCTCGAACCCAGGTCCAGTCTATCCCCTGTGCCCACTGCCTTCCTGGCGGAGCCACCACTGCCCGCCCCCCTGCCCCACAACGTCTTTCTCTGCACAGCGAGGGAAGGCCAGGGGGGCATGACCAGGAGTAGGCAGAGCCCGGACCTCAGACAATAGCAGAAGGCTGACCCCCACCACCACCTGGGGCTCAAGGACTCGTGCCATCTGCTGGCACCGTCTGCCAGGCCCTGCCTGACCCTCTTCCTCCTCTCATTTTAGGACAAACAGATGGATTTCTGTTGGGATCCTTGGCAGGTCAGTGCGCTTTGCCCATTCCGCAGTCCAGACAGCCGCCACGGACACTGCGGCCCCTTGCTCTGCGACCCCAGCCCGGGCACACAGTCCTGCCACCTTGGGGGAGGGGGCCTGATGACAGCAGCGAGTGGGATGGTTCTGTGGGAGTGGGCAGGGTCACCTGGGGAGGGGGCTTCATGGGACGGTAGTGGCCGGGAGATGTCCTCTGGCAGGTCTACCCTGCCCTACTCCCCCCTCCCCTCCTTTCTGCAGAGGTGCTTCCAGACCACCAATGGCTACCTGGCCGACTCCAGGTCCTGCTCCGACAACTACAACGTGGCAGCTCTGGCCACCTCGTCCCTTGTGGGTAGGTGCCAGGGTCCCTCCTCTGCCCCAGGGTTAGCGCAGCCTGTCCCTTGCCCTTGCTGTGGCTGGAGGGGATGCAGCCTGGGGGAGCCAACATTTCCCGGACCCACGCTCCATGCCAGGTTCTGCAGGGACATGGAACTTAGGGTTCCTGCCCCCCACCGCTGCTGTTAAATTGCTGCGGTCCCTTGACGCCGTGAGGAAAGGGCCCCAGTCTTTCCGATGTCTGCCTGGCGTGGCCTCCCGGCCTCCGCGGCAGGTGCAGTCTGCCCGTCACCCTGCCGTGGGTGGGGTTCCCTGGAAGCAGAGCCCAGACTCGAATTGTGAGAGTGATTTATGGAGGGATCGTTCTCAAGGGCGGATCGTAGGAGTGAGGGCAGCAGGACCGGGCAGGGGAAGGAGCTCAGCAGAGATGGGGCTACAGGAGGACTCTGTCTCCGCCCGATCCCTGGGAGCTCAGGAGCACGAATCGAACCTCAGAACTTCCGGTGGGCGGCGTTGAGGCTGGCAGCTGGTTGGGTATCACTACCGCGTTGGTCGGCGGTGGCCCCTGGAAGGCTCTCCCGCCTCCCAGGCATCTCTGGGTGAGGCCACTCCCGTGAGCTAAGGGCAAGGCTCCGGAGAGGGCCGCCGGTGGGAGGTGGCAGCAGCTGGGAGATGGGCACGCAGGCCAGCAGAGGGGTCTCCAGGGGCTGCCACAGCATCTGGCCCAGGTCATCCACGCACACCTTCCAGGCCATTCCCGTGCTGCCCTCCCCCGTTTGCCTTGACTCTCTCCCACTCACTACCCTTTCCCTCTGCCTCACCTGCCCTGCAGGGGCCACTCGAACTTCCTCCTCCAGAGCTTTCTCTGGTTGCCTGTGCTGCTAGCTTGGGGGTATGTGTGGCGGGTTCTCCCCCTTCTTCCTCATTCCCATCTTTCCCATTTTCTCAGTATTATGTCTCTAGCTTCCTTGCTTAAACATTGCCAGTCCTCACATCACGGCTCTGAGACCCCAGTGATGGTATGCTCGGCCTTGGTTCAGAGAGATGCTGAATCATTTCTGACAGTCTTCTCTGTCAGCTTCCACATCGAGGTAGTCTACTCCTAAGAGCTCTTCAGGTCCTCCTCCCCACTTCCCAGCCCCTGTCCTGTCTCTCGCTGCATCCCTTCAATCATCCCTCCTGATGGTGCCCCATCTCCACCCTTGGCCCCATCCCCTAATTGGGGTGCTCTATACAACGGATCTAACCTGCCACTCTTTTGCTTACTACCCTGCTGTGCCTCCCCATTGCTAGACGGAAAACTCTGGAGTCCTCAGCTTGGCTCTCTCAGTCCTAAGTCTCACCCCTGATGAGCTCCCCAGCCTTTTCTGCCATCCCAGCCTTAGTATGGCCCCCATATCTCATCCCCGGCAGTCCCAGAATCATGCCAGATTCTGCCATGGCTTCCTCCTCATCTCCTCTCTGCCTCCATCTGTCCATCTGTCCAATGCACCTACAAACCACCAACCTACCTGTAAAGCTCAACCCCGATCCACCTCTTCCAGGAAGCCTTCCTGGCCTGCTGCATCCCACATAGGTCTCCCACTCAGCAGAGCTGGCACTGACCTTGGCACAGGGGGTGCTCTCTCGGAACTGGTTAATTAATAGATAAAGGGAGAGGGCTGGGTGGACCTTGAGTGGATCTTCTGGGACAGAAGGGTCTAAACCTGGTCAAAGGGAATGAGGGGCGTGGCAGGTCTGGGGAAGAAACACCAATGAAGCACCAGTGAAGCACCAGGTGGAGGGGAACGTTGCTGGGAGTAGGATATTGGGAGGGCTTGGGGCCTCTGCATGGGTGGAGACCTAAGTGAGGTGGGGCCTTGGGGCTCAGGGAGGGTGTGGGGTGCTGAGTGGGCGTGGGCTCTGGTTGGGCAGGAACACCTGCTGGGATAGATTCAGGGCATTGTGAGTATGGGGCTGGGAGGACACGGGGCTGGGAGGACACAGGGCATGGGGTGAGTACAGAGCCTCGAATGCTTGTGGGTTACAGGCCATTAGATGGGCCTGAGGTGTGGGGGGGGGGCGGGGAGCCTGGGGTAGCGGGGGGCAGACCTCTGGGCAGGGTTTTATGTCAGAACGTCACCCGGCTGCCCTCAATGCTCCCAGGGGTGGTGCAGAGCATCAAGGACCACATCACAAAGCCCACCGCCATGGCACGTGGCCGCGTGGCCCACCTGATTGAGTGGAAGGGCTGGCGCGCCCAGCGGTCAGGCTGGGAGCTGTCCCCCGCTGAGGACGAGCATTACTGCCGCCTTCCCGATGAGCTGCGGGAGGCCCGTTTTGCTGCAGGTCAGTGGTTGGGGAGCCTGGGGACGGGGACTGGTCGGGGCTCTGGTCCTTAGGGGACCAAAGGTCGCCACATGGGCATTGTTGAGACATGGCCATGGGTGGACAGGCATTCGGGGCAGCCGTCCGGTCACCAGGGCCCAGATGGACAGTCCAGCTAACTGCTGGGCTGTTGGGTGCCAGCCCGTCCTGGTGCTGAACGCCCCCGCCCCCCGCCGTGTCCCTGCTGAGCTGGGTCTCGCTGTTCCCCCACCCCCCGCAGGGGTTGCTGAGCAGTTTGCAATCACAGAGGCCACGCTGAGCGCCTGGTCCTCGCTGGACGACGAGGAGCTTCACCTCGAGAACAGCCCTCAGGACATGGTCCAGCTCCAGGGTATGACCCGGGCTGGCACCGGGGCGGGGTGGGTGGAGCAGAGCAGGGGCTGGGTGCCTGCCACCAAACCACGGTGACCTCAGACAAGCCCCTCCCTGTCTCAGCCTGGGTTTCTGCATCTGTGGCCCGGAGCAGGGGGTCCTCGCCCCGCCCACTGCCCACCGAGCGCATGTGCCGTAAGCCTAGAAGCGAGAACAAGTGCTGTAACGGGTTAGGGGACGACGTGCTTACCCCGTTCGGTGTTGCCCTGTACCATTGCACTTCCTCCTCACCACGCCTCTAAGAAGGGGGCCCTGTTATTATTTCCTTTTACAGATAAGGGCAGCTGAGGCACCGGGAACCTTGCCCTAGGTTACAGCTAGAAGCGTCAGAGCCAGGATCTGATCCTTAATACCAAGCACAGACAGCCCAGGTTACTGCGGGGGCTTCAGTGGCCCCGGGGCCTCGGTGACACCCACAGGCCCATCATCTTACTTAATCCTCCCCCTGAGTGAGGGGAGGGAAGGGAGCGGAGGCCCAGGAAGAACAGGGGTTGTCCCAGCTGTCCCAGCGCCGGATTCGAGGCCGGCAGCGTAGCCTGCTGTTAACTACTCCAGTTTTCTCCACCACCCGGTAACGCTCAGGGAGAAACTGGGGCTCAGAGAGGCTCGGTGACTGGCCCAAGGTCACACAGCTCGGCAGCGACAAAGGACTTGGAGACCAGTCTTCTGTCCCTGACCTTCCCTCACGCACCAGGAGAGGGTGAGGAGCAGGGCTGGGCCTCCGTTTCTCACACTCCCTACCCCTCCTGTTGGTTTTCCAGACCTGGAGAGCATCTACCTGCAGGACAGTCTTCTGAGTGGCCCCTCACAGGATGACAGTCTTCTGGCCTTCTCCTCCTCTGGCCTCTCCCCCGAGGGTTGGCCCTCACCCGACGAGCCCCCCATCACAGCTGTCGGCCCCCAGCCCCCCAGCCTGGAAGAGGAGCATCAGTGGCGGCTGCCTCGGGGTCTGGGGCCTGAGGGTGGGACCCATTTGCAGGGTTCCCTCCCCTCGGTGGACAGCATCTCCCTCTCAGAGGAGGAGGACGAGGTGTTCTATAACTGAGGGGGGGGCGGCTGTGTGCCTCGGAGCCTCCTCATACTGTGACCTTGCCCGGTGGGCAGCCCAGGCGTATCAGGATGGTGGGGTCTGGGCTAGGCATTTCTGGACTCCTCAGGGCAGGCAGGGGTGGGTACAGCAGGGACGGGGAGCCAGCCCTCCCTGTGGACCAATCTGTGCCTCCGTGGACCTGCCCCAGGAGTGGGAGCCATAATCCCCCTTCTCCTTTCTTTACTTGGCTCAGGAGGGCACCTTCCCCCGTGGGGTTTCCACCAGCGGTGAGCTTGAGGACTCTCAGCAGGCACCAGGGCAAGCTGCCAGGAGGAGCCAGTTGCTGGGCCCCTGGGCTCAGGACTCGGGAGACCCACTTGGAGTGGGGCCTGGGGACCCTGCCTTGACCCCGGGGCTCAGTCCTCCCCCCTCCCTCTGTATTTGTGTCCCCATCAGCGGTGGGACAGCCTCTCTGGTAGCTAAGCTCCTCGGCTCCCTCCACAAGGATCGCCTGTCCCTGGTGCCCCTGCTCCCTTCCTTGCACCCTCCTCCCACCTTCCAGAAGGTTCTCTACAGACATTAAAGTGGTGGATTCACCCTGGATGAACTTGGCCTGGTCTCTGGGGGAAGGTGTGTCCTTGAGCCCCTGGGGTAAGGGGGTTATAGAGGGATTTAGGGGAGGGTCCTAACCACCCAACACACATGCAGGCGGTCAGCCTATGCCACCCAGCCAGGAGAGTCCCCATGGAAGATGCCCGAGGTTCTGTGGATCCCCCAGGAACCATACCTAGGGACCTGCTTTATCAGCCCTGGCTCAGCCAACAAGGAAGCTGGGGGTGGGGTGAGGGTAACTGGGCCACAGGGTCCTCCTTATACCTGAGAACAAGCATCATAAGACCTGATGGGGGACCTGCTCACCTACCCTCTCTCCCTGCCAGGAAGGGGGTGCAGGAGGAGCAGTGGGAGGCCAGGGACCCAGGCTTGCAATGCCCACATGGCCACCAGGGGGCGCCAAGACCCCACTCAGGGCCAGCACTGAGCTGTCCACACCCTTGGAGCTGAGAGAGGGTCTATAGCTCTGGGAACCAGCTTTATTTTTCTCAGGAGCCTCTGGTTGGGAGTCCTACAACTCCCAGAGGGCATCTGTGCCTGCCCTTGCCAATAGCCCTACACCAATGTCTTGACTGTGAATTTGGTGAATTTTCAATGAGCACCCACTGTCCACTGGTTTTCTGTGGTCTCGAATCCTGCTGGGTCCAGGGTGGGATTTGTCCTTTTACAGTATGCAGCACTTGTGTCGCCCAGGATGGAAAACGGTGAGCGTGGGGCCCTGCTCAGTGCTAGATTAGAGCCGCCTGCTTCACCGAGGAGATGAGCTAGGCTGGAGGGCTGTGTTGTGACGGGGGAAGAGAGGAGGGTCTCGGCCCAGGGTCTTGCCAGGCTGGCTCACTTTGGAGCTGGTGGGTTTGTCAGGCTGGAAATTGCTTTCTTCAACTAGAACAGAGAAAGAGGGGTTTGGGGGAGGGAGGGTGTAGAGGAGGCCGAGAGTGGGGATTCCGGGATTGGCTGGCTGCCCTAAGGGTTGATTCAGGGGAGGGGATAAATGTTAAAGCCAGTTCCTCCCCATTATACAGATGGGATCATTTAGGCCCAGAGAATGGCAGGTCTTGCTCCTGGCCACAAAACAGTGGCCAGGCTCTCTGGGCCAAAAAGTGGGGCTCATCAGAATCCAGTGAGGCCCCTCTAAATTCGGATGGGAAGATACTGGTGCCCCCCCACCCCAGCCTGCTCGAGCATGGCTCCTCTTCCTTGCTCTGCCCCTGGGACCCTCATACCTCCACCCAAGACACAGAGCCCACAGCTCTGCCCAGAGATGTCACAGGCAGGGACTGAAGTTTCAACAGCTGAAAGAGGTTGTGTGCCTAGAGGAGAGGGGTTGTTAGTGAACATTGGAAGATAGATGGTACTCAGTCCATCGCTCTGGCTTCAGTCTCTCCCTAGCCTGGGGGCTGTGAGCTGAGGTGGAGGCTCTGGCCAGAGCTTTGTCCCAGGGGTGCCCACCCGTCTATCTCAGAGCCTGGGAAAGGGGTGGGGCGCAGTAACAGTGGGTGGGACATTAGGGCCTGCAATGTCCACTATGACCACCAGGGGTCTCCAGAGTCCACACAAGGGACCAACTGGAAGGCCAAGTTTATAAGCATGATCCAGCATGATCCCGCAGCACAGAGGGGCTAAGGCCACCTCCACGTCCCAACCTGCTTCTGCCCTTCTCTGACCCCATGTACCAAAGCCCCTGTTTTGCAAGGTGGGAAGGGATCAGGATTCAGAGAGATTAATTTGCCCAAGATCACACAGGGAGAATGTGGTGGACCTGCAATTGAGACCCATGTGTGCCTTGATGCAAAGACATATTTTTAACTACAGTCTCTCTCCACCCAGAGCCTTCTGCTCCCCCAAGCTCTCCCTCTTCCCTGGTCCATGCATCATCCCAAGAACCCTAGAAATGAGGAACAGAGAGAACAAGGACTACTATGCTCATTCTACAGGTGAGGAAGCCAACCCAGGAGGAGCAGAGAGCCTTGGCCACAAGGTGCCAAGAAAGCTGGAGCTTCCCCTCTATCCCACGGCCCTTGTCTGCCTGCATGCCCGAACCCCCCCCCTCCCCATTACCTGGTGCAGGGAGGTCTCCGGAGACAGCTGCAGGGTCACGGGCTCTATGAGACAGCCCCCAGCCAGGAGGTCCCGAAGACACTGCCAGTGATGGGGGAAGGCTCTTGGGGGGCTGGGCCAGCCTCTGCCATCTCCAGGCTGTCCCTCTCAAACCCCCTTTCCCCAAGGCACCCCCCTCACTTCCCTGCTGACCACTCCCCATCCTGACACCACCACCCACCACCAGGAGTACTTACCGGGTGCCCTGGAGTCCAGGAAGGAGGCTCAGCCCGGAGTGCCTGCACCAAGTCCTCCCTTCCCACAGTGCCCACCAGTATCTGAGACTCTGCACGAGTGGAGAGGGAGTGAGCCACATGGCATTTACTGGGTGTTCTCACGTCTCTCAGGAAACTACGGCAGCCAGTGGGTTGGGAGCTATGACCACCGATTTTATACAAGAGGAAACTGAGGCTAGGAAGCATAGAGAGCTTATTTATCTTGCCCAAGGTTACTGATTGCTGATGTGGAGGTTGGTAATGGAAGGCAGCTGGGGAAGGCTGCCCACCCTGATTCCCCCTGTGGTGGGGTGTCTCGAGGCAGGAGCAGCTCTGGGACATGGGCATGAAGATGTCTATGGGTCAGAGCTGGGCTTTGCCCCTCATTTCCCTCAGCAAGTTCCACATCTGGCTCAGCCCAGTGCAAGTGTGAACCCAGAAGACCACCATGTTGGGAGGTTCTGCTGTGGGCTGAGGGCTTGGCACGCCTCCCTCCAAGCTACCACTGGAGTTGGCAGGTGTTGGGTTTTGAGAGGGGAGCCTGGCATTTTTCCTTCTTGTCAAGTAAAATCAAAACTTTATAACTAGATACATAAATGCTCTCCCTTTAGACAACAACAATTAAAGCTATTTCTTAGGTGAGTGGCAGGGTCCAGCAGCCTGGGCCTGGGCTGGTTGGGAGCTCTTTGCTTCCCGTGGCTCTGAGAGTAGAAGTGGTCTTTGTCTTGGAGGCCAATTTTGTCTTTGTTCCAGGAGGTGGAGCCTTTTGGAGGAGTCATCCATCTGCAAATATTTCTAAATGACATATTTGGTGTATTCTGTGGGATCATGTTAGAGATATCCCAATCTGTGTAGGGAGAAGGCCTGGCATTAGGGTTGAGAACCTCTGACAACTCCATGTTGGTCCCTATTTTCCAGGTGGGGAAACTGCAGTTCATAGGGGGTTTGCCCATGGTTCTGCTGTTCACAAATGGCTTTATGGCCTCTTGGGGGTGGGTATGGTGGTAACCATACAGTTGTGCACGTTGATAACTGAACAAGATACCTGCCCAAAGCTTCAGTAGGAATCAAAATCCAGCTGTGCTATGCTTGCCAAGTGTGTACCTTGTCTCATTTGCTTATGTGTGCTGATGGGTGCCCCTGAGTGGACAGGGCTGCCTCCCACTCCCCCCTACCCCCACAATCTTTCCTACTTTTATTATACTTATGTCCCAGCAGGAAATGATGCTGTAGCTAGATCCTTCCCCAAGATTCAGCTTGTGTGTCTTTTCACAAGGTCTCCCTTTCATTTTTCTTTAAAAAGATACTTTTCTCGTGGCAACAGGGTTTCAGGAGAGGTGAGTTAGCTGGGAATGCTTGAAGCGGAGACTGAGATAAGGAGTCTTCTGACACCTTGTAGTGTTGCCATCATTTACCCCCACTCCCAAGCACACCAGGCCTGGCTTCTAGAATTTCTAAAACTACCCATGGAGTGCCTTACAAGTCTCCTCTCATTTAAACATGTTAACCACCCCAAGTTAGGGAGGTCATTGTCTCCACTTTACCAGTGAGGAAACTGAGCCTCAGAGAAATGAAGTGACCTGTCCAAGGTCACACGGTTGCAGAGACAAGATTCAGAGTCAGGTGACTGACCGGTCCAATGCCCTGCTTCCCCTTTCCCGGGCCCAGCCCTCCAAGGCCTAAGGTAAAGGTAGAGGGAATGTCCCCTCCGCACCCATGCTCCCCCCTTCCTGCTGGGCACCTGTGCTCTCCACCAGGAAATACTTGGCCAGGTCTGTGGAGGTCACAACCCTGGCCACTTCCTCCAGTGGTGCGTCCTTGGCCAGCGTGGTGATGGCACAGTTCATGAAGTGTTCCACGATCACACGGTGAGAGCTGGAAGCAGAAGGGTGCTCCCCTCAGGTCCTGGAGTGAGGGGATCTCCAGACCCCAGGACGAGGTAGGGGTACCTGGAGGGAACTGGCTCTGGAGTGTGGGCAGGCGCTGAGAGATTTCTAGGATGAGCAGCATCTAGAACCCCAAGGTGGGGAGGAACTTGGGGACAGTTTACCTATGGCCTGACTCTGGATTCCCAGCCCCTGAACCCCTATCCCCCACCCCCCAGACTGACTCCATTTTAGTGTCTTTTACTCAGAAGTCTTCCCTGGAGAATTTCATCTGAAGAAAAGTTTTATGTCAGAAAGGAAAAAAAAAAAAAGGTTTACAGTTTGAAAATCACTGGAGTGACTTCCCCCATTTTACAGTTGGAGAAACAGAGGTCTGGACCAAGGTGACAGTTTGCACATGTTTGGTTCTGGGTCTTGGACCCAAGACTCTTAGAGCCTCTTAGTCCTGCTTCTCTGGGAACAGAAGCTGCTCTGGTCCTGTCTGGCCAGGGGAGATTCCAAAACCTGATTCCAGTCCCAGCATCACAGCGAGGACAGCAGGGCAAGAGTGGGAGAGAGGAGGGGACGTCCCAGATCTGGTGCTGACTCTCTGTGTGATGGGGAGCAAGGCACGGTGCCTCTCTGAGCCCCCGTTTCCAGCAAATGGGCAGCATCAGTCCTGTCGTGTAGACAGACTGATGACTAAGAAGACACGGAGGCCCTGGAGGCCAAGCACTTGCCCAAGGTCATGCAGGGAGTGGAAGAGAGTGGAGATGAGATGGCTGTGTATCAGCCCCTTCCACACCACCCACATCCAAGGTCAGCCACAGGGAGGGTTTTATATGGGGGGGGGGCTTTACCCCAGCCCACCCAGGCTGACCACCCTGGGTACCTCTCACCTGATTTTTCGGCTTCGGATCCATGGAAGGTATGGCAGCTTCTTGACAATGATGGTGCCGTCATAGAAGGAGGGTTGGCAGCTCTGGGCGATGGCGTTGGCCGCCAGCACGGCCATCAACACGGGCAGTGCGTGCACTATCTGGCCAGTCAGCTCGAAGGCCAGCAGTGCCGTGGAGATGGTGTGGGTCACGGCCCCCGAGAAGGCTGCAGCCCCTGCAGGAGGCAGAGCCAGGGTGGGGTGGTTCAGGCCACAGGGGCCATCATCACACAGAGGCCACACGCTGGCCACTGCTGGAAGCACCCCGGTGCCTGGGCTCGAGGAGCGGGTGCATGTAAGGGACAGGATGGGGTATCAGGGACAAGACAGGAGCTAGAGAGAATAACAGGGGCTCCGGGGATGGGGCTCAGGCAGGGGCTCTCCATGCCCTGACCCTCCGGGTCCAGCCCAGCACCTCCAAGGTCTGCCCACCCCGTGGGGACCCAGCCCACTCACCTGCCAGGGCGTACCCCCCAGGCATGATGGGGTTGGTGACCCCTCCGGCCACGATGCCCTCGGGGAAGGCAAGAGCGAGGGCCTCCCCTATGAGGCGCCCGATGCCAGCTCCTGGCCACAGAGAGGGGGAGGCGGGGGAGGCAGGCTGACACGGCCCCCACAGCCTTCCGTTCCTGGGGACCAACCTCAGTGCCATCTGAGGAGGGAGCGAGAGAGCCGGGAGCCGCAGCCCTGCCCCAATAACCAGGAAACTCTCGGAGCCTGGGAACCCCAGACTCACCAAAGATGAATATGGGCATGAAGTACCCAGCAGGGATGGGGATGGTGGTGGCCAGAATCAGCATCCAGAACTGTGGGTGGGGGGACCCGGAGGGGCGGAGGTTAGAGGCAAGGGGACGAGAATGGGCAGGGGACTTGGGCACTTCCCAGACAGCAGGAGGCGGCCCAGGCACACGGCCATCACCAGCGTCTGGTGTTAGGAGAGCACCGACCAAGGGAAGGACACCCACCCTGACGAAGAGCCTACTATGTGCCTGGCATCGTGCCAAGGGCTTTCCTTTCTCCCTGCTCAACCTTCCCTTGGAGATAAACACACAACTACTACCCCATTTTAAAGATGAGGAAACTGAGGCTCAGAACTGAAACCACGTGGACTGGGGTCACACAGCGGGTGAGAGAGAGATCAGGCGGTCTGGGTGGAAGGCCCGGGCACTGTGCTACACCCAGTGGGAGGCCTCGCTCCGCATCCCACCCAAGGCCAGTCTCCACTCTGTGCATGACCCCGGTGGGGGGGCCCACGGCACCCACCTTCATAACCAGAAAGAAGGCGAGGGTCCCAAAGATGGTGAACTGTGGGTGGTACCATTCAAACCACAGATTCTGGGGGTCGAGCTCTTTGGGCCAGGGTGGGGATGAGTTCTGGGTCATCAGCGCCCACGAGTGGTTGTCGAACAGTGAGTCCAGATGCTGCTTCATAGACAGCTGGCGCAGGGGACAGGTCGGAACTCTGCAGGGGGGGCTGGGCAGCGGTTCCTGCCTCCGCCTCCCCGTGACCCTGCCTTAGATCCTCCCACCTTGGGATGGGCTCTGACCTCCCAGAACGGCAGTGTCCTCAGCTAGAACTCGAGGATGACCTGCAGGCTTCCCCTTACAGGTGTTATGGGGATTAAGTGAAATGACAGGCACAGTGTGGGTGAGGGATGGGGATTCCCCACTCCCACCCCCCCAGCTCAGCGCCCCTTACCCGAGAAGCCAGGAAGCGGCCCACACCAGGGGGGTAAGTGATGGAGGCGAGAACCAAGGCCGCCAGAGCGGAATACAGAGGCTTGCTGTGGGGCGTAGGGTGGGGGGGTGAGCTCAGGTGCTGGTCCTCCTCTTCCCCCACCCCACGGAGGGGGAGCCGGGCAAGAGCAGGGCCCACCCCCCTAAGGGCCAGGACTGAGGCAGAAACTGGAGGAAGGGGGACACAGGCCAGACCCCCTCCAGGGGAGGAAACCAGGGCTGCTATGGGAGTTGGGGACAGAGCTCTGCCAGGCCAGGGTGGGCCATGCATGGCCAGCCTGGGGCAGATGCCAATGCCAGGGGGCAAACAAGGTCTGGGCAGGAGGGGGGCTCAGTTAGGGCTTTTGGCTCTGTGGGAAAGGAGGGCTTGTGAGGGGCCGAGCCCGTTGATAGGGTGAGGACTCAGGAGGAGAGGGGAGCACATGGAAGTTTGAAAGCCCAGCAAGCTGGGGGTGCAGGTATGGAGCGGTGACTGTGGGGACCTGGAGAGGGGTGCTAGGAGGCAATAAAGGCTCCGTAAGTGGAGTGTGGGCTAGGGAGGTTTGGGGGTGCTTAGTAGGAGGACAACAGTGCCGTCAGAGAGTGGGGTTCTCTATAAAAGGGAGCTGTGTGCTCAGGAAGCTGAGGAAGGGAGCAGGGCTGTCCTCCCTGAAAGTCCTCCCCAGTTCCTGTCCAGAGCCTACCTGGTGGCCAGCAGTTTGGAGATAACCCGGTTAGTCTTGACAAAACCAAGGAAAGTTCGCTGACAGAAGAGGTACGCACAGCTCACGATGCCACAGATGGCCCTGGGGAGGGAAGGGGAGGCCAGAGCTCCGCCCCAGAAACAAGGGCAGCGGCTCAGGCCTGGGTGAGGCCCCCGCCCCCACGGGGCTCTCGAGGGACCCGAGGCGCTCACTCACCCCAGCGCCACAAAAAAGAAGATCTCCGGCAGGTCGAACGGGACATCCACCCTGAAACTGGTCTTGTAGAGGGAGGTGATGGTCTCTGGGGCAGGAGGGAAAGATCAGGGACCACACCCTGGCCCCAGCCAAACCCAAGTCCCAGGCTTGACAAACAGCCGTGGAGGTGGTGCTTAGTCCAGCCCCTGAATACCCTTTCCTGGCATTCAAGGCCCCCAAAACCAGCCCTTGCCTCCTTGCTCAGCTTTGCCCCCCTGTACTCTCAGGGGCGGGGGGGCTCCCATCCCTCACGCCCAATACGGGTCAGCAAGGAAAGGAGAGAGGGAGAAAAGATGGGAGGAGGAGGGACGGAGGGGGGAGCCAGGGCTGGGGTCCAACGGTCTCGCGGGGACTCACCCTGCTCGCTGTTGAAGACGGACAGGAGGCGAAACATGAAGGCTCCGCAGGTAGCCGCAAAGAAGCCCCTCCAGTAATCCCAGACAGAGAAGTGGGAAGACATGACCTCGATGCTGAACAGGACCCCTGAAGGTGGTGCTGAGCTAAGGGCAGAGCCCCGATTCCGTCCACCCCAGGGCCCTGACCCCTCCCATCCTGCTCTCCCTGCAGCTGAAGTGAGAGAGGCCAGGCAGGAGCCCACGGAGGGCATCTCCATCCCTACAACGGCCCTGTGGCAAGGCGCGAGCATCCCCAAGCCTCAGAGAGCTGAACCCACTAGCCCAGGTCACACAGGGGAGCTGGATCTCCAGCCCAAGTCTGTCTGATGTGACCCTGAGGCGTCTCGACAGCCCCCTCCACCCCATCCTGGGGCGGCTGTGCCCGCAAAGGACTGCAGTGAGAACAGAGACCTGCGTCAGCCCACACCTCTTCCAAGGCCCTCAGCCGGACAGGAGTGAGCGGGGTGGTCCACAAGAGGGGTGTGGAGGGTCCCCAGGGTGCGAGGGAGGGGCACAGTCTCACCACTGAAGGGCGCTGCGAACACTGTGGCCACGCCCACCGCTGCTGCCACCACCAGCATCTCGTTCTGCTTACTCTTGTTCTGGGGGGGTCCCAAGTCCGGGCTCAGAGTCAGGCCCCCCCTCCCCTCCCTCTCATCCTCCAAGGGGGGGGCCGTCCCTGACCCCCTTACCTCAGACTCCCCAATGGCCTTGGTGTGCACCCGGCCCAGGTAGGCAGCGATCATCACAGACAGGTGCACGAAGGGGCCCTGCGGGGGAGGTATGGGCACCGGGCACAGGGCTCGCCTTACTCCTCCCCACTGGGGCCCGGGGCTGGGGGGCCGAGAGCCTCATCCAGAACCGCACAGCTGCCCCGCCACACCCTCGTCCTGTCTCCCCAGCTCTTTGGTCACACTCTGGGGACCTGGCCTGCCTCCTCCCCAGGCCAGAACCCCTAAAAGCAGGCATTGGCCTGAGTCCCCACTGACCCTGCTTCTGTGGGGTAAAGGGGGGAAGGCGGGGGGGTGCTCTCACGCCTGCCCGTACCACTTTGCCCAGGAAGATGGTGCTGCCGGCGGCCAGGGTGCAGGTGAGGCCTGCCACCTTGGCCCCGAAGTTCTTGATGTCCAGGTAGTCCTCTAGCACCACGCCGGACAGGATAGTCTTCAGCTCAGGGATTCCAGAACCTTGGCAGGGGATGGACACGGGGCAAGACAGGGGCAGTCTCTAGATTACACTCTGAACTCCTCACCCCGCCCAAAATGTTTCACATCATGATCTGGTCAGGTCCTCCAAAGCCCTGAGTTAAGATCTGTGAACTCGGGGCGCCTGGGTGGCTCAGTGGGTTAAGCCGCTGCCTTCAGCTCAGGTCATGATCTCAGGGTCCTGGGATCAAGCCCCGCATCGGGCTCTCTGCTCAGCAGGGAGCCTGCTTCCTCCTCTCTCTCTACCTGCCTCTCTGCCTGCTTGTGATCTCTCTCTGTCAAATAAATAAATAAAATCTTTAAAAAAAAAAAAAAAAAGATCTGTGAGGAAGCTGAGGGTCAGAGAGGGGCCGGGAGCTGCCTGTGTCATTCCAGCAAAGCCTGGCAGACAGCTACGGCAAAAACAGGGAGCACCCAGAATAGAATCTCAGGCCACCCCTGGATGCACCCCCGGAGGTCCCCAGTGCTGGTCTGGAGCTGGAGGCAGAGCTGAGAGGCCTGGGGAGGCTGTGCATCTCCCTCAGCCCCTCCCTGGGGAGCCTGCCACCAGGACTCCCCATCACCGGCCAGAAGGGCCCTCAGAAAGGAAGCAGAGCCAGCAGTGGCCCCAGAGTCAAGATCTGACCTTCTCGCAGTGTTGCTTTGATGCAAGCGACACGAAGCTTCTGAGCCTGGCTTTGCTGGCTGTGAAATGGGGTCACTGCTTCCTGCCTCCCCCCATCAGATGCCCAGAGGGGTACGAACAGGCTCTGGTCCCAGGCACACAGGCACATGGCTCACCTCCTGAGAAGGGCGTGATGCTCTGGGAGAAGCCGGAGGAGAAGGAGACCAGGGCCACAGGGTACACGGTCCAAGAGAGGTACCGGAGCAGGTGGCTGTCCCCAATTTCCCGGTATAACCACTTGTGTGCTGGGGACACCCAGGAGTCAGGAAGCCATCGCAGGCTCTGCAGCCCTCAGGTGTCCACTAACCCAGAAAGGGAGGCTCAAAGGGGGGAGGCCCCCCAGTGAGCAGCAGATGCCCAAACGGAGGCAGGACTAAGACCCTGGATCCACACCCCAGTGTTGCCACTACCCACTGAATGACCTTGGGCAAGTGACTTGACCTCAGTGAGCCTCCGTTTCCCCATCTGTCAAATGGGCTAGCGATGGGAGCTCTGTCATGGGGTCATTGCGAGAAAGCACTCAGATGATGTTCAATATTTGAAGCGTAGCATGTTCTCAGGATGGCACCTGACCAAGTCTACCAGGGGGTGTTAGAACCTTCCTGCCTATGCTCCCCCATTCCTGGGAGAGCTCAGGGTGCAGAGAGCCCACTGGAGCACAGGGAAAGAAAGTTCTATGTCTGGTGATCCAAGCAAGTGCCCTCCCTGGGCATTACTGAGGTGAGAGCAAGGAGGGAGGGAGGAGGAGAAGGAGCACGGACAGCGGGAAGAGGTGGGCATAGAGCTCAGGGGAAGAAGGGCTCTTGGAAACATTCAGGTCTTTCTTGCTCATTGTGCAAGGAGACCCAGAGAGGGGCAGGAACCTACCCAGGGTCACACAGCAAGTCAAGAGCAAAGCTTGGACCAGACCCAGGCCTCCTCCCTACCCCAAGCCCTCCTCCACCCGCGATGCACCTGACAGCCCATCTGGCATCCTGAGCGTGTGTGGAAGCCTGTGTCCAGAGCAGGTGTGTGTGCCTGGGAGGGGTTACCTCGCACCACGCGCCCGATAGCGAAGTTCATGGTGTAGCTGATCAGGGCCATGAGCACCCCGAGGGTCATCAGGAAATACCAGTCCTCCCCCACGCGGAACACCTTCTGCTTCAGCCACTCCAGGCCACCTGGGGTAGGGGCGCTAGGTCATAGCCCAGGGCCTGAGGTGGGGTATGGACAGCCCCTTCCCTGGAGGCCTGCTGGAGCCCAGGGCAGGGAGTGCAGGGGCAGCATGGGGCTGGGTCACCAGGTCAAGTCCAGGGTGGCTCAGAAGGGGCTCTGCATGAGGGGCAAAGCAAGAATTAAGGCAAAGGGAAGGCACAGCACGGTGGGTACCAGGCCTGTGGGCCCCACCAGGGGACCGTTGACCTGTGCACCCTCCCCCACCCCACCCCATGCTGGAGGCTCGCGGAAGATTGCCGGAACCGGCTGGGGGCGGGGAGGGGCTACGCTTTCACCAGGGTCTCCTCAGGGAACAGCTCGGAGAACGCAAGAATCTAGCAGAAGTCCTCCTTGTCTCCAGACCTGTGGGCCTGTCCTACAGGCCAGGCTAGGGTCAGGCCAGGCAGCACCCACTGGGCGCAGAGCGAGGCCCCTAGCATGGCCATCAGGCTTTGGGGCTGCTTTCCCCAAAGGCAGAGAACAGACATCAAGACCCACAGGCAGAGGGACAGGCAGACAGGTCCCTTCCCTCCCTGCCACCCAGAGACTGTGGGCAGGTGAAGGCAGGGCAGCTCTTGGGTTTCAAGGTGGGTGGGGGAGGGGGGTGGTCCAGGAAGGGGTGACGCCCTGAGGGGTCTTCGATAGGCAGAGGAAGGGGACCTCGCTCTCACCTCGAATGCCCCGGCGGACACGGGGACACGGGCCCCACAGCTCCCGAAGGCTCACAGGGCTCCCCGAGGAGCCCTCACGCAGCCCCACCAGCTCTTCCATTGGGTTCCGGAGCAGACGGACAGACAGACTGTTGGTACCCGGCCACCTGGCACCTCCCAGAGAAAAAGGAACCGAGGTGTTTTCCTGTGCACACGTTCACTTGCACGCGTGTGTGAAGCTATCAGGAGGGGACATAGGTTTGATGTGTCCTCATCGCTGAGGGAGGGTGCCGAGGGTGCACAAATGTGGTGAGGGTACAGGGGTGGGGGCCGGGGTTCCAGTGTCCTCCGTGTCCAGGAGCAGATTGGTCACGGCAGGACCCCAAGCCTCAGAACTCCCTTCCCCCTGCTGTTGACATTGCTCCTATCATTCCTTCCAAGCACAGCTGCCTCCCCTGTGCAGAGAGATCTCCTTCCCCAGCAGAGTCTCTCGCACTGTGAGGTACCCATGGACGGCTCTGACTCCCCATGCCCGTTCCTGAGCCCCCTCTCTCCTGCTCAGGCCACAGAGGCAGGGAAGCAGCAGGTCCATAATGGTTGTAAAGAGGTGCTGGCTCCCTCCCGCCAAGCCTCCTGCTCCTGTCTGGCCTGCCCTGGCCCCGGCAGGTTCCACCCCAGTCCGGGCCCCCACTCGACACCCAGCAGCCCCTCACCTCTGTCCGTCGGCCCTGCTGTGGCCCCAGCCGGCCTTCCTCTAACAGAGACTCCTTTGCCTGCAGCCCAGGTGCACCTGGACAGGTCTGTGCTCCACCAATCCACACCCTGGGTGCCCCCCCTCCCTCCCCGCCCTGCCGGGGTTGACCCTGGCCATTAAGAATGTCCTTGACAAACCACCCAGAACTGCCCAGGCCGGTTGAGCCATGCAAGCCAGAAGAGCCACGGGGGACCAGGAGCTAGAGCTCCCTAGAACCCAGGAGAGCCACGCGGAGGGTGGCACTCGACCATGCTGGGGGCTCCCCGCGGCTGGCTGGGGGACATGGAGGAGGTGGAGAAGCTCCTGTACCCAGCAGCACAGTGGGGGGTCCTCTGAGGGGGCTGGATCCTCAGAGCTGGATACGGAAAGGGTTTGAGGAAGCAGGGAAAGGAGAGGGAAGAAAGCCGATAGAGCTGGAGGAAGACCTTGGGTAAAGGTGAGGGCCCCCTTACTACGGCACCCTTGCTGTGTGCCAGCCTCTGTGCTCAGCCCTCCCCCAAATCGGTGCGTGCTCACTGAAACCCAGCGAGGTGGGAGGAACTAGATCCCGTGTTAAAGACATTGGAGTCTCTGAGGGGTGATGCCGCTTGTCCAAGGTCACAGAGACCAGGGGGCAGAGCCGGAATTCTCAGCCAGGTTTGTAGGACTCCAAAGCCTGCACACGGCTCCGCCACCCACCTTGCTGGGGGTTGGGGGGCGGGAGGAGACCGACAAATGGGAGCAGTGCGGTGATGTGGGGTGCTGCAGGTCTCTGAGGCCTGGGGAGGAACTTGAACTTGATCCCCAGGTCCAGCCCCTCTAGCCTCAGGGAAGGACCTCTCAAACCACCGTGCTTCTCAGTAGATGCACCAGACGGTCCTGCCCCAGCAGAGGGTAGGGGTGAGGGCATGAGGGGGAGGGAGCAAGCACAGATTATGTGCCAGCCACACGCCAGGCCCTCTAGGTCTGCAACACAGTTCATCCTCCCTCATCCGTGTGAGTCAAGGGCAGCATCACCATTTGGCAGATGACAGAGGATCAGGGAGGTGTAGTGACTTCTCTGAAGTCACACAGCAGAGGCTGAAACCAGGCTTAGACTGTCTTGCTTTCCCCCTCCCTCGGGCTCCTCCAGCCCCTGTGGCTTTCATCAGTCAAGACAGGGGTTTGGGCACAAAGCAGAGGGTTTGAGTCTGACGTCACTTTTGGAAAGATTTGGGATAACTGCCCTCTCTCCCTCCCCCAGACAAAGCTCCTTTCTGAAAATCTTGATGACCCTTTGGTGACTTGCCAAAATCCTGGGACCCTGAGCCACCCTCTGCCCCTGGATGCCTGGCCAAGTCCATCCCAAACAGGAGCCCATGTGCCTGCAGCGGGGAGGTGGGCGGGGCTTGCTGCTCCGCAGGGGCTGGGCCCACTGTCGCCCCAGCCTGGCGACTGCTACAGTAACAGGATAACTGCCTGCCCTGCTGACATCCCAAACCCCAGCCTCTGGCTCCGGGCAGCCTTAGACTATGATCCCACAGCCGGCCTCAGCCGCCTGGCCAGTGCTGCCTGTCCACACCCTCACCTTCCCGCCCTGGGAACATCAGGAAGCTGGGGAGAGAGTAGCAGAGTCCCTCCCAAAGCCATTTTCCTGCATCTAGCCCCAGCGCCGTGGAGGGTAAGAGCAACTTTGATGCTAGAACGGCTCTGTCACCCTGCCACTCTGTCACCACAGGGTCCTCCACCGCTCAGAGCCTTGGTGTCCTCTTCTGTCCCATGAGGAGAGCCGGAGAGTCATGGATGCATTCCTCATTCATTATGACTCCCCCAGAGCCTAGAACAGCCCCCGCCCCCCATATAGCAGGTGTTCAGCAAACATCTGCTGAGCGATGAGCGGTTTCCAAACTCTGGCCTATGGGCCAGCTGTGCAGCTGTGTGCGGAGCTGATGGGAACAGATACCCGGTCCCTTCCCAAGAGCCCAAGTCAGAATCTTGGTGCGCAGAGGGAAGAGTCTGTTTGCGTTTAAGTTTACTCCAGGTGACCAGGCCGCCCTGGCAGGTTTAGGATTCAAGGCATTGGATCATCTCAGAGTTCCTTCTATCCCTGTGATCTGGAGGGTGAGCACGCCCAGAGACAGGGGCATGGCCTTGATGACCTTCTGAGGTCCCTCCTGGCCACAGAAGCCAGGCGATCCAGGACATTTATGGGCCATGTCTCAGGGACAGGGGGAAGGGGAGGAGGAACGGTGGGCGGGGGTGGGTAACGGGATCTGACGTCCAGGAGCAGTGACTCAGGCCCTCAGCACCATGACAGTGTGTCTGCATTTAGCCACTGGCTCCTGTTTCCCTGGCGGGCGGGAGGCCTCTGGGCCCCCCACCCCCGCCCCTACCCTCTTTCCATCTTGCCTCGTGCTGGTCACTTCCTGGCAGCCCCACTGGAACCCCTTGGCCAGGATGGGTGACACGGGCCCAGCAGGAACATTCACTAGGATGCAGACCCCCTCTTGCTCTAGCTACTCCCCCCAGTTTCCAGCTCCACACTGCCCCCACCCACAGACCACCAGCACCAGTGATTATCCCTAGAAGGAGCCCCCCAAGGATGGTGCTCTGTGGGAACCCAAGAAAAGAACAACCCCCACCTTCAGGAGCCCCCAGTCTAATGGGGAAAGGGGGGACCCCTGCAACAGGTGAACCACCAATCTGACCTCTGTGTGGCTGCAGCAATCACAGAGGCCTTCCTGGAGGAGGAGGAATCAGAGCAGGTCTGGGCAGGAAGGGCAGGATTTGGAGAGAAGAGCAGAAACCCCACACAGTAGCCTGGGCAGCACCCACAGCCCAGAATAGCCTCCCCTGCTTCACCCCTTGCCCACACCCCCACCTGATGTCAGTCAGTCCTGGCTCTGCTGAGCCGTGGGTGGCCAGAGAGGGCCTTCTGAGCCAGTCTGTCTCCATACGTGTATGGTCAGGTCACCCCAGCCTCCTGGAGGGTTGTGGTGTTGGTTTTTTTTTTTTTTTTTTTTAATTTTTATTTATTTGTCAAAGAGAGAGAGAGAGCACAGCAGGCAGAGTGGCTGGCAGAGGCAGAGGGAGAAGCAGGCTCCCCGCTCAGCAGGACTGAGCAGGGACTCAATCCCAGGACCCTGGGATCATGACCTGAGCTGATGTCAGCGCTTAACCAACTGAGTCACCCAGGCATCCTGGATTGTTTTTTTGTTTGTTTAATTTTATTTGTTTATTAGAGAGAGAAGGCATAAGCAGGGAGCAGGGGAGGGGCAGAGGGAGAAGCAGACTACCCTCCCCAAGTCTGAATAGGGAGCCTGATGTGGGGCTGCTTCCCAGGACCCTGGGATGTTGACCTGAACTGAGCCACCTAGGAGCCCTTCCTGGAGGGCTCTGAATCAGAGGCCCCTGGGTCTGAATCCCAGCTCTGCCACTTACCCACATGCAAGCCCCGCCCTCTCTGTGAGGCTCCACTTTCCCACCTGTAAAATGGGAACAACAGCTCTTTCCCCAAGCCTAGCCGACTGGGGATCAAGTGGGGCCTTGCTGGAAAGTTCACAGGCAGGAGGCACTACAGAAATCAGAGCTAGAATAGCATCTTGCGGAATTCTCCTTTACCTCTCCCTGAAATCCTGCCCCCCACGGCCCCGAGCATCTACATGGAGCTGGAGCTCAAACAGACAGTTCCCAGTGATATAACCTTCTAGACTTTTAAGGACACTTATCAAATTATCTGCCCCCCCCCAGTCTTGGCCCAACCCCCACCCCGGCCAAGGGCCACCAGCTTCCTCCTCTTGGGGCCCCATAATGTTCTGAGAGTGGGGAGAGGGCAAGCACAGAATCTGGGTCCCCGTGGGAGCGGGCGGGGGGACAGCTGCACATTCTAGCCCCCCCGGTCCCCCCCAAGGGCTGTCTCAGGCCTCCCTAAGACATGGCTATAAACATTATCTGTCCTGAGGGTAGAGTCTCTCACACGGGGTCCAACAGGTGGAAGGTTTCCACCTGCCCCACCTTCTGACCTCGCATCTCCTGCTCTCCCCAGAGCCAGGACCTTGGGACCCTGCTGACCTGACTGCCCACCACCCAGATCCCCTCTTCCCAAGGATTGGAAGTTTGAGGGAGAGGGCACAGGAAGCAGAAAACCCTATCCTTAAGAAGCTTGCAGTCTGATGGGGGAGGCACAGTCCCTAGAGAGCACCCCCCACCCCAGGCTGATGGGGGAGGCAGGGAGACAGAGACACCACACACACAAGGTCCTGTGGCAGGCACGGGGGTCCGAGTGGTGAGGGGACAGGTTGCCCCCGGCCCGTCGCTGCGGAGGCCCCAGGCTGGACTTATCGGCCCGGAATGCCGGGCCATGAGCTCAGCCTGGGCCTGCGTGTGTCGGACTGTCAGCAGGGCCGCCT